TTGATGGGTAATAACCCAAGGATACCACCCGGTTGGTTCACCGAACAGCACGCGTCTTTTTCAGCCCGGGTTATTTGACCGGTTGGATGAGGAGACCAGATGCCAATACCCGAAGATTTACTTTCAAAGTGCACCTGGTGGGCCGGTCAGCCGCCTGACCGGTTGGATAATCAGAGACGTGCTTGACGTGCTTAGGATTATTATAAATACCCTTAAAAGCCTCATTTGTGAGGCATGTTTTAATGAACCTACACGGCTTGTATTTGTAATAACTCCTATTATCATTAATAACAAATCGGGTTACAGGTGATTCCACCTACAACCCTTCCGATTACTCACACTTAATATTTGCGTGGTAATTTACGCCATCAAATTGGCGCCGACCGTGGGACCTATTACAAAAAAGTCATGGCCAGTAATCAGGAAAACATGATCTCACAAATTTCTACTCCCGCTGAGAATGTCATTTAATTCCCGGGAGGAAGTTCCCAACCGTCAAGCCAGGTTCCTACCCCCATCATAACCATTCCACCACCTATCCCATTCACTTCCCCCGTGAACCCTGTTCCCGTTTTTCCTTCAAATTTCCCCGGACCCCTTGATCCAATGTACAGCCAGGCTCTTCAGAATTTTGGACATTTCATGTCCATGTTCTAGCAGCCGGGAGGGTTTTCACTTTTCAATCCGGGATTGTATCCACAATCCTCACCTCAAACTAACGTCATTCGCCCGATCGTTCCAACAAACCTGATCGGGGAGATGGATAAAGCTGGTCCATCCCGGTCTAGAAGGAGCCGGTCCCGTAGGTCACAGACAAAGGTGACCTCGGACGGGGATGTGCGTTCAGTGCACAGCAAAGACGAGGATTGGGACGTCCCCCAGGCGGTCAAGAAGTTGAAGGGAAAGGCAGTTCAGCCAGAAGGATCTAGGAGGTCGGCCTTTCAGAGACTTGGCCATGATGGCCGAAATCAGAACCGGTCAGCAAAAGAGCGGCTTGGGGTAGAAACCATTCCAGCTAGTGCCTTTAATCGTGCAGGGAGAGGAGCCGGACGACCTGGTCAGATTAGGCGAACGGAGCCATCCCCACGCGATGAGCCCCAGCACAACCGGGCACCACGAGAGGAAGAAGCCGAAAGTCACCCCAAGCACACGACCCGTTCACATGTTGAGCAACCTCGGGATCGTGTGGGCCGGGTCGAGGCACGTCTGGAGAAACTACAACGCCGGGTAGACCGAGAAGAAAAGAAGAAGATTCTGCTGAACGAATCTCCGTTCACAGACCGGGTTCATGAAACACCATTTCCAAAGAAGGCGAAACTTGAAGTCCCAAAGTTCACCGGGAAGGAGGACCCGGAAATTCACGTCAAAACCCTCCATCAAAGTGGGCGGATGATGGGTCTTTCCGGGGATGAGAAATGTTTGCTTTTCTTTCAGACCCTCCGCGGCCGAGCCGCCGAGTGGTTTCATAACTTACCAGCCGGTGAAATCGATTCTTTCGATGAACTGGCTGAGGTGTTTCAAGAAAAGTTCAAAGAAAACTGTACCAAGAGGAAAAAGTTTACCTACTTGAGTACAGCCGGGCAGCGAGAGCATGAGGATCTGACAAAATTCCTCACCCGGTGGAAGGATGAGGTTGACAAGGTGGAGGAGATGGACGACAAGACAGCAATGTCCCTCCTTGTATCCGGGCTCCGGTCCGGAGAACTATACAAAGAATTCTGCAGGAGGCCTCCCCAGTCCTATCAAGAGGCCTATAACACGGCCTGGGACTATGCTGACGCTGAAGCCCAGGTGTCATCCAAGAGGGAAGCCGAGCAGGGCCACTCAAAGGGAAAAGTTTCCTTGAAAAAGGAAATTACATTGCCCGGTAAGATAAAAGCAGAAGTCATGGAGGTAAAACCGGTCAAAACAGAGAAGAAACTGACCGGCGAGAAACAATGGACGGAGAAGTATTGCTCCTTTCACAAAACTGATTCCCATAACACTGCAGAGTGTAACAGTGTGAA